TGCCTCCGCCTCTGCCCTCTGCCTGCCGTCAGCCTCTGGACCCTCAAGGTTCCCCCCCTCTGCAGCTCTGCTCCACTGAAGAACAGGTACAGCCCTGACACACTCTCAACCTGCAATATTCCCTAAACTTATCTGTCCTCCCCTGCAGTGAACCCACTTGTGACCAGTCAACCACTTCCTGGATCTGTATAACCTGTGTGATTTACAGAACTCTCCCATGACCAGTCAAGCCTCTACTGAACCTGATCCATTGTTGTTCTTTATTGTAAATAAATCTTTGAACTTTTCTTCTGCCTCCGAGTGTTCTGCATGTGGGTTAGGCAAATTAAGCCGAACATGACAGCAAAGAGCTTTTGCTATTTTAACTAAAGCTTTGCTTAATCTTAGAATTCATTCTAAATAAGTAATGTTCTCAAATCTATCAATATTTTAAGGAATGTTTTCTAGAAAGGAAAACAATCCATCCTTTTCTAGAGTATGACATTACACAAGTTGTGTATGAAAAATCCATGAATGTTGGAATTGTAGCTAATATATAGTCTTGTGTTTATATTATCACTACTGCTTACCTTTATTACTGCTGCACTTAAGAAAAGGAAAATGTCTTGAGAGCTGTACTTAACAACATTGTTTTGTATATATTCTGTGTGTATAAAATGACGGTCAGTCTAAGTTATATCTATATTTTCCTTGGGTTTGACATCATTATGCCCTGTTGGTACTATACAAGGGTTTTATTTTTTCCCCTCTCAATACTACTGTATTTGATATTTTTTAGCACATAAAGAACTTGTATTATAAACATGTAATGGATATTGCATAACAAACCCCTAGGCTGTCAATCAGTGACGCATGGAGGCATCCAAGCCATGCTCAAGAGACAAAATATAAGCGAGAACATTTCAGTGTTGAGCAGTGACTGTTTGCTCTGCTGTGCAGCTAAGAGGACGCATCTTCTTTCAAAGAACAGTGCCTTTCATTTTTCTTTTTGTTTTGTCTTTTGTAATCTGGTCCTATTAAAGGATTAAATTAGTGATCTACAAAGAGGGTCAATTTAATACAATGTTTAACTCCACATTTGTTCGACCTGCAAAGTTCTATCTGGGTGGGTTTTATAACGTCCCACATGTTAAGTATTACTTTATCTTCTTGTGCTTTGTGTACATCATTACTGTCCTTGCCAATGGTTTTCTTCTTTCTCTTATCTACCTGGAAAAGACTTTCCACACTCCTAGATACATAATAGTGTTTAATCTGGCTCTGACAGATCTTTGTGGGAGCACTGCTCTCATCCCAAAAGTCTTGGACACGTTTTTGTTAAACAGGAGATACATTGTTTATGAGGCTTGCTTAAGTTACTTGTTTTTTGTTTTCTTCTTTGGAAGTATGCAATCATGGACGCTTGTTACAATGGCCTATGATAGACTTATTGCAATTTGCCTTCCTTTAAGATACAGTGTCATTGTTACACGAAAGTCTGTTGTTACAATTCTGCTTTGCTCATGGACTTCTGCACTGATTATCATTGCAGTCTTGGTTGGTCTTATTAATCGACTCTCTTTTTGTGGCTCTTTAGTTATAAAAAGTTTTTTCTGTGATCATGGAGCCACATTTCGTCTAGCCTGCAATGACACATTTCTAAATATCGTAATGGCTAATGTTACTTTTGCTCTGGTCATCTGTATCCCTCTTGTGTTGATAGGTGCAACCTATGTTTGCATTTCTATAGCACTGAGTAGAACTGCATCCAGAGAAGAACGACTTAAAGCAATCCGAACTTGTACTTCTCATCTGTCGCTTGTTGCTCTTTTTTTCATACCATATGTGGTAACAAATATAATTGCAAATATTACTGATATTAACCCTAATGTAAGAATCTTAAATAGCAGTTTGTCACATATAGCTCCTTCTCTGCTTAATCCCATTATATATGCTTTGAAAACAGAAGAAGTGATGAATGCTGTTAGGAAGTTGTGCAAAAGAAAAATAACAAAATGGTAAAATGTCATCAGTCATCAGTTAAACTGCTCCTGTGGCTTAATATGTATCCTGGGCTGAAACAACTGCAGATTTCCTAGTTTTTAATAGAAGACAGGTCGAACTCTGTGTTTCAGACTTCACATAATCATCACTTAACTCATTTGGTTTCAGCCTGTGTTTATTTATTTCACAAGTTATCACTGCTTTTTTAAACTAAGATTTTTGACATAGTTTTATTTTCTGCTTACTTTTCAGTTAAAATCTGTCCCTATATTTAACAACTTCATAAAAATTGTAAATTATTGGTTTGGCTTTTCATGTAAAATATTTGACATTCACAATAGAGTTAGAATTAGTAAAAAGAAAAAGTTGTAAAAAAAAAAAAAACAATAAATAAATAAATAAATGAACAGGCAAAAATGCAAAAGGTTTTCTGAAATCAATACCAAATAATTTTAAATCTTTGTTCATCTTTTTTTTTGTTAGTTTGTTTGTTTTTTCTACACAAATATGATTATCTATTTCCTGTTTCCCCAATTAGATTGCTAACAATATTTGCTATACAATATTTTTAGCTTTGCTGCTAAGATGCTTTATTGTCGCTATGTAAACCTAAATCCCTTTATTGTCCCACAAATGGGGAAATTCACTAAGGGGATGAGTCAAATATACATTGACTGACATATAATTTATATGTTTTTGGATGCAAAATCTAAGGTAAATGTTTTATTTGTAATGACCAACAGAAGGAATGGTTGTGACCTAAGATATATGCAAGTTTTCAGTAACAAATTATGATTCCAGGAGGGAGGAGGGGCTAATATCGAAGTAATATTGGATTATATTTTATTTTTATCTATTAGGATTTTCTATTAAGGTTTGTGTGAAAGCAGTCATAGACCCACCTCCTTGGTTTTGATGGATGTGTGGCAGTGTAAATGATGAAAAAATTAAGAAATATGTATTTATAATTTCTTCTTAAAAACAACTAGTGTCAAACTGAGTAGTGTATTAAATTGATGCCCATTAAATTACTTATATATGTGTTGGACAATTTCTGCATTTATTTCCAGTTTTTAATCAATAAATGACACTTGAAATAAAAATGTACACTTATTTATTTTTTGCTTTGTGGAAGTGGTCACCCTCAATAAACCTGGACCATTTTCAATTACAATCTAATTTGGTGATTATTGACCCATAGTTTTCAGACCACATGCTTGTTTTTTTTGGATAGAGTTGTCCTATACCAAAGCAAAGCGTGAGCTGCAACTTGGCTCTGTTGTATTCTTAACCCTTTTACTGCTGGTCACTTTCCCTCTGTTTTAATCAGAACAGTGGTGGATAGAACTGGACACAGATTTATGTCTCACTAAAATAACTTGACTTGATCTCTCTTTGACTTTTGCTTTTATGCTTGGAGAACTTAAAATCCTGTATGGCCCTACATTGCATTAAAGTAAATGAAGTAAAATGGAGGTGGTGATTTTTGGTAGTTCCAGTGAAGACTCCCTGACTGACGTTGGGTCCTTAGCCCTGTATGTCAGACCTTATATTTCAAGTTTAGGGGTTAAAATAGATGCTGGTCTTAAGTTTGAAACCCTCATTAAAATCTGCCATTTTACATTTGAGAAAGCTGGTAAAAGTAAAAGCTATCCTTTTACATCAGCATTTTGAAACAGTAATCCATGTCTTTGTATCCAGTCAGCTGAACTGCTGTAATGCACTCTATAAAACTATCAGTGATTTGTGAATTTCCCAGCTTCAGAGGGTACAGAATGCTGCTGCATATCTCTTAACAGATACAAGAAAATATGATCATATTTTCCCTATTTAGCCTCTTTATATTCAGTAAATTTTAGAATTCACTTAAAATCCTTTTATTTCCTCCTCTCCCACCCCACCTGTCCAAGCACACCCTCTAGTTTCCTTAGATCAGCTGACCAGTGGTTACTGAGGGGCCTGTCACACCTTGCCATTTTAGACAGCGTATGCTCGAAGTCCCAGAATCTTCTAAAACGCTGGCGTACGGCAAACTTTCTATGTATTTTTTTCAATTTTGGGCGTATACATAGCATATTCATAACAAATACAGAACTTATGTCCAACGACAGCCTAACATATGCAGAATGGACAGCAGCCCATGAAATGATGCACAGACATCTTTCTGACTCTAAAGAGGCCTCTTTCTGATTTTTCTAAAGACCCATTTCTTTTACTTGGCTTTTGACACAAACTGAAATGTTAAATTTCTCATTCTGTATTTTTTTCCCCCCTTATTTCATTAATGCATTTTTTATTTACCACTTTATTTACTGCTTTATGACAAATCATTTCTATCATGATAGTGTATAGTACTTTGCTACTGTTGGGTGTTTATAGGGCTTTATAAATAAATTCGGTATGGTATAATATGCCGTGGCCATAACTCTACATAACCTAACCCTCTCATCATCCTCCCTTAACAACTGGTGTCCAAGCTGACCAATCTGGGAATCCCTCCACTTATCTTCCACTGGCCAGACTTTCCTTCAGGACGGTCTCATAGACCAGTGTCACAAAATTTCCTATCAATGTCTCATCAAAAGGACATAAAGAAAAAAAACCTCACATTTTGCCTTCCTACATTTAACATTCTAGTATACACTTCATATAAACCAGCTTGTTTAAATATTCTCATGTCAGCACATGTGCCGCTTCTGTTTTAGCATAGACAGGACAGCATTGTAGCTCAGTCTCTCCCTATCACCTGCATGCACATCTTCACCAGAATGCTGCTATAGGTTCACCTCACATGAGTTGTCTGCGCATAACATCTTTGCTTTTGTTGTGTCTTATCCTAGAAGTCAATCCATAATCAGGGTTCTTGCTCCATCAGCTTTTCATTAGTAAAATTAGAACTTGGATTAAAAAAACTTTCTTACTCTTCCCTCTTCAACTTGGAATTTTCACGGACAATTTAAATTTACTATAACAAAACTAGATATATCTTGTAGAACTTGTTTTTATGCCATACTGTATTAGCTTATGTATTTTAATTTTAATGTATTATTTGTATCATCAATGTTCTTTTTTCTTGTTTTATCTGAACAGGTCACTTGCAAATTAAATCTTTGATCATGATATATATATATCCTCTATCTATATATATATGTATGTATGTGAACAAAATTAAATAATATATATCTTTGGTAGCCTATAAAAAAAAACACCACAAATGTGTGTGATCTTCTTTATGTTGATTAATAGAATTAAAATGTTTCCAGCTCAAACTTCACATAACTTTTTGACATGTTTTTGTCATTCTAATGAATTCACTAATATGTTTAAAATGTAAAATAGCAGCATTAACATTTTATGTGTCAGTAACTTTCAGTTTTCCTCTGGGACATCCTAGCTTATGATGCAGGATTTAATTTATGTATAAAATATGTAATAACTAGTTAGATTGTTTAAAATGGTAAAACTTTTTTTTTTTTTTATCACATAACCAATTTCTTTATGAATGATGTGATGACATAAGAACAATTATATATGACAGCTTCTCTGCATAGTAAAATGATTTACCTCAGAGAATTACTTAATGTCCATACATTTATTTTGAGAATAGAAGTTTGAAATCCATTCATTCATTAAAACTTTGTTATAGAGGTGGGTAGAGAAACTTGAAATTGTCCTAAGTAAGAATAGCAATGCTTTAAATTAATACCACCCAAATTAAGTAAAAAGTGGAGTTTGATAAAATTATTTCTAAAGTACATTTTAAGTCACTACACCTGTTTAGGACCATAATCAATTTTCAACCTTTCCGGAAAAGTCATTATAAAAGCTCTACACCAAATCAACCACTAGAGGTCAGTGTTTTTAACACGATGCAAATAATAAAGAAAATTTGACTATTTGCAACCTATTCCTGTACTGTGTAACAGTATTCTGGTAAAAATATAAAAATAAAAATAATAAGAAAATCCTTTTAGTTTCAAAGTATTTTAATCCAGAATGAAATGCACTAATATGAGCATAAAAATTGCATGTAAAAAAAAATAAATGTGCTTCTTTTCTGCATTGATACCTACTTTTACCATAAGCACATGTCAATTATAATTCATAATGCAGAGCTAATTACTTTTTTCATATATTTGTTTGTGATATAATGTTTTATGTTATATTGTAGATCTTAACATCTATTGTTTTTGTTGGTTTTAATCAGCTTAGCATTGAAGTAGGAAAAAGAACATGGTTTTTATAGCCCTTACCCAAACAAGATTCACAAAATATATTGTTTTGGAAGACATACTATGTTTACCGGAATAAAAACAAAGACTTACACAAAATTAGGTGGATTTTTTCTTAAAAGATTTTTCAAACCAAGTTTTTTACTGATGTATTTACGTGCAAGACCAAAATTAGAAACCATACAATGAAAGATGATGATGAATTAAATGCATTTATTTTGTCTTTTTAGTGGAACTCTTCAAAAATATTAAGACAAAGATTGTGTAAGTTGATGACACAAAATACAGATGGATTGACCAAAACTTTATTTTATGAAATAGTTAATAATTTATAGATCAGGTATCTGTTAAGGAATAAAATAGTGCTTTTAAATGAAACCACAAAGTTGGCCAAATAGGACACAAAATTTTTTATTTTAGCAGTGATTATTGTTGTTGTAGCACACCTTTTACGCTATGTAATTCATCATTGTTTCTAGGTCATTTTTGTGCTCTGAAGCCCACAAAGACTAGTTGGGATTTTGACTAAATCTTTCCATTAACTTTGTTTTTTCTGAAGATTGCCTGTGCCCTGATTTTTATCTCTTTAGTTGTTAGTGAATAAACAATAGGATTAATGCAAGGAGGCATGCATGAGGCGAGTGAGAGGCTCAGAACTCTTTTATCTGGTTCGACTACTTTAACATAAAACCCAATGCTAAAAATAACAAGCAGAGGAATGTAAAAGATAGCAACAACAATTATATGTTCAATGCATGTGGTCAAAGCTTTCACTCGACGGTCCAAAGATTTCATTTTAAACACAGTCCCCAGGATACACATGTAAGTGAGAAAAATGAAAACAAAAGGTACTCCAAGAAGCAAAACCGAGAGCCATGAAGCTGCAGACCACTGCAATGAGTAATCATTACAAGCAAGTCTAAATACAGGTGCATAGTCACAAAAGTAACTGAACACTCTGACAGAGTTGCAGAAAGACAGGCGCGTCATTGAGCTTGTTGTGAATGTGGACAGTCCGAGACCAAAACACCAGGAAGTGCTGATAATACAGAGCATGCTGCGCACTGTGTTGATTGAATTTTGCCTAAAAGGGAAGCATATAGCAATCAACCTGTCATAGGCCAGTATAGTAACCGCATATGACTCCAGTGTTACAAATGCATAATATACAAACATTTGAACAAGACACAGGTTAAATGGAACAAAATTATCTTTGATAAGAAAAACTTTTATCATGCTGGGAATAATGCAGGTGTTAAGCACTAAATCTATCACTGCCAGGTTGGTGATGGCCAAAAATTTTGGAGTATGCAAACAGTGATTAACAGCAATTATATAGATAAGCAGACTGTTGAACACGACTGAAAGCATGTAAATAAATGCTAGGAAGATGATGTACGCAGATATGAATGGAAATGACTGAAATCCAATGATGTAGAAGCCTGGTGGGTGAATGATGACAGAGCTGTTTAAAATAGATCTAAAGGTAGACATCACGGTTACCTACAGCCTTTGCTGAAAGACAACGCTCCAGTGTCAATCCCTTATCTGAAAACAGAAAATATAGGATTCATAAGAAAATATAATGTATGAATATACGACAAGATTACAATCCAGCATATGTGGTAACTGTCATGATTAGTCTACCTGATCCCTTCCCTCTTATAGAGCCAGTCCCTCTTCCTCTATTTAAGGCATATGTTCATATCAGCAGGCAGATACCTCCAAATATGACCTCTGTGCTGCAACAATACATTGCCTTTTTTACCCCATGAGATCAATTTTATGATACATGCTTAAAAAGAAATTCTGAAACACCTCATTTATTCTAGTAATTTGGTCTTTTGGGAAAGCAAGACTGTGATTTATTCTGACTAACCTTTGTTGTTGTTGTAACGGAGAGCTAATTATCTGAATGTTGACCTTGTAAACTGAGTAACCAACAGCCCATTGTTATCAAATGGGTGATTTGCAAACTCAGGTGTTACAGAAATTAGGTTGGGGAGAAGGGTTGGCTTCTAATTAATAAGTTTGTGTAAATCATTCTTGTTTTAATGTTTCAAATTACATTTATATAATTTATTTCATATTGTGTAAATATATTTGCCAATTTCTATTTTTGACATTAAGCTTTAAAAGTCAAAAATGTATTCTATAAAATTGTTCCTCTTTGGCTTTCTGCTAGTACATTTGCTATGTATAAGCTTTTACTACATTTATTTATTTATTTTTTATTTTTTTCTTAAGATATTTTATACCTTATTTGGAGGTGTGACCAGGGTCATGTCCATTCTAAACACCAATTTTGCCTAAACCTCCTCTTTTCTCTTTAGATGGTGCTTCAGTTAGGATTTTTTTTTTATTGCCGTATTCCATCTGTTATGTGAAGTGACTCTGCATCAAGAGTTTAATACTGCTCTTTATTTTGCAGAGATTTAGTATATAGGGTTGCAAACACCAAGGCTCAGGCCTGTTGTCATGAAGCAGAAAGGTCCTTGGTATGGTTCCCAGGATGGGGCCCTTTTGCATGGAGTTTGAATGTTTTATCTGTTCATGTGTGGATTCTATCTGGCTTCCATAATAGACAAAACATGATTATTACTGTTGATTTATTGGATTCTCCAATTATCCTAAGGTATGTATTTCTGTGCATTGTTTTGAATTGAAGAGATTGAATTAACAAATTCTGCAGAGTGGGAGAATAGAGATAGAATGAAGCAGAATTATGAAAAAGGGGTCTTCTCCCATGATGTTAAGAGGGCTCAACTTATACCTGTTTCTTCTGGAATTATCTCCCTTTTGTTGACATTTAGGATCAGGTGTTTGTTTCCACACTATGTCACAAAGTGGTTCACCAGCTCCCTGTGCTCAGCTTCTTAAACATCTTTGATGTACCCAATGACTGTACAGTCATCAAAGTATTTCTGCAGGCAACAGGACTCAGTCTGGTATTGCAAATCAGAGGTGTACAGAGTAAAAATGAATAGTGAAAGTACCGTCCTCAGTGGTGCACCTATGCTGCTGACTACTTTATTGCGCTCACCTGAGTTTTCTTGAGTTTTTTTACAGTGTGTGTGGGTGTGGTGTGTTGTGAATTGGTACCATATAAATAAACTGAATTGAATTGTGTTGGAGAATTCAAAAGACACGATCCTCACAGTGCTGTCTGCCTTGTCTAAATGACGGAGGGTTTGCTGAAGCTGGTGTATGATGAGATCTTACTCAAATTCCACATGTGATGAGCATGATTTTTTGAATGATTCTAGTGCAGTTGTTTAAATGTTGCTGTCCCCTGTACCAATAATTGGCTCAGGAAACCGTACTCATTTATTTTACTTTTGCTTCATGAATTCATTTTGTAGACAAAAGGGTTAAGTGAGATTTTATTTTGAAGGAATGCTTTTCGAAAACTGGACTCTTAAATCCAGAAAGTGTTTGATCTTGGCATCGAAAAGCATTTGGGGACAAGCTGGTTTTAAATAAACACACTTTTGAGACCTAAAGCATTCGTCCTTCGTAGTATGTAGCAAAAAAGGTATTTTTTAAAGGTTTGTACGTTTAAGATGGACTTAAAGCTGTTGATAAACTTATATAAGAAACCCACTTGTCTGCCTATGCTTCGAGAGAATTACAGCAGTTATTATACTGGTAAGAATCAAGATTACATATTGATTAGATCCAGCCATATTATTTATCAGAGTTTATTTTTATTGATAATAAGAATAATAATAACAAACATGTCTTGAAATTGAGTAAACACCACAAAGATTTGTCAGTTTAACTTGTTGAAGAGTTGCTAGACGTCTGTTTTTGGGCTATCCGTCGTTCTTTTTGTGCATTTTGAAAACTTGTCATGCAGTCTTTGAAACTCTGAACCTGCTTCTGGCAGGCTCTCCAGTCCTGATGTTCAGCCATGCATTCCTGCACAGCGTAATGCAGCTCAGCGCAGCCAGTGCGGGATATCATCTGCTCAATGGGATCATCCTCGTCATCTTTACGGCTGCGGTCATGGGGTGAAGGATAAGACATTCTGCTTGTAAATATAACAAAGACCCAGGCTGTGAGAGGCAGAAAGAGACAGAAAGATTTCCCATCAGTGAACTATTAAACTCATCAGCTATATGTTTGTCTGTGTAGCATCTTAACATCCTTGTACAATGTCACAAAATAGCAGCTCTTTTCTGATTATGCACCGAATAAGTTCAGAAAATAAGTGCTAAATTTTTGTTGTAGTTATTTTTGTCCTTACTTGAAAAAACATTAGTGTCTGATGACATACACATCAAAGACTAAATCCTTTTTTACATGTAAGATGTTTGTTGATCTTTAGCATTTAACTAGTAGTGTACAATTTAGGGAAGGACTAGGCCGTAAAGATAAAATAACCTTTAGGTAATTATATACTCTATGGATAACAGGAAGGCTAAAAGTTGTAGATATTGAGCAATAATATATCGTTATCTTTTCTAAATTACATGTATCAGAACAATGATAACTTGTTTCGAACTAAAATCACTATACTGATATTAACAACTCATTCCCCGAACCACAAAAGCTACAACACTCTACATTTTGTTCATTACGAATCAAAGTTATGACAACAAGCTTTGTCTCATTAATTCAGCAACTGACACCGAGTACTGTGTTGGAGAATAAATACGTAAGCGTCATTAATTAATGAATAATAAAAAAATAAATAACAATTGCCTGTGGAGTTTTAGCCGCTCAATGCAGCAATGTTATTCACCTTTCTGTAGTGGCGCAGAAAACTTGATTTAAATCAAGCAGAACTTTTCTGCTTTTTCATAACCAACCCGTGATGACTGTTTAAAGAGGGGGACATATTTAAGCGGAAACCGGAAGTGTTACGTCTAAATGTGTCTGTTCAATTGGTTCCGCTGCGAAGTGAACTTTCGGAAAACTTACTTTTGATCAACAAAACTTTCTAATAGATATATACAAATACAATATCCAAAAAAAATTATTGTAAAAAAATATTTACTGTAAAATAGTTTCGAATCTTGGTCTGTCTATCCATTTTTCTTATGTATTTTCATCTAAAAATAATGTTACATATCCGTCCAAAATATTCTGCTATATCTATGAAAAAAAATGTAATATCCTAATCTTTATAAAAATAATAAACAAAACATAAAAAGTCACATTAATATATAGTTCATAATACAATTAAATATCTAAAAGGTTTGTTGCTGTTTGTTTAGTGGGTAGATCTGAGGTAAGATTTTATATGATACCTCTTTTAAAACTGTTAAGACAGCATTTATCACCTCATACACTAATGCAACTTACCAGGTCCTTGCTTTTCAAACAATATTTTTTTCTTTCTCAATTTGCAACCTTCTCAATAAACATGTTTATAGCATATTAATGTATTATTTATATTACTGATTTAAAACGGTTTTGCTGATGACTGAGCTACAGACTGCAAAGGATAGCCTACTGGATTTTTTTATTTCATTTCAGTAATTTCTTCCTATTTCACCGGCCACTAAATCAAAAGCTGAACCTAACAATATTTGAAAAGAATTTAATTAATAATAGATTAATTTTATCATTTGTGTTTCAGAAAATAAATCTGCATTATACTGTTCTCACCTCATTTGGAAGCATAAGTATTTATGAACATAAATTGATGGTGGTTTACATCACCAAGAAAAATTAACCCTCTACCCCTCTACCTGTGATATAACTCACAACCTGAGGTTTAAAGTTCCCCAGCATTATTGGTTACTTTCCAAGGAAAATTAATGATTCTTTTAAAAGGGAACATCTACCTTTATAGAATGCATTTTCTAAACTAAATAAAATTGCCCCAGATATACAATTTTTTTTTTCATTCATTTTTTTGATACCCTCTGCATTACAATAAAAAAGACAAATTGAATAGAAATTTTTATTAGTGATCAGAATATACACAATGTAGGAGAAAAAAGAAAACAGTTTAAATAATGGTGCAAAGGGTAAATACTATGGAAACGTTCAGTGCAGTGCAAAAATCTATATGGTGCAAAATGAGGTACAACATTGAGTTGGGTCCTATTTAAAAGGATTATAGAAGGGTAGCATGTTGGTAGAGCAAATATAATGATGCAAATGTTATGTAGAGTCCAGTTTGGAGTTCAACAGTTCAGCAATCTGATGGCAGCGGGAAAAAAGCTGATTCGGAACCTGCTGGATCTACAGCAGACTCTGAGGAGCCAGAGTGCAGCAGGTTCCTGAGGGGGACGTGAGGGGTCGCTGATCATGTTACAGACTCAGGACATGCAGCGCTGGGATGAAATGTCTTTTATGGAGGCAAGAGGAGCCCCAATGATCCTCTGTGCTGTCCTCAACACTCTTCTTATGTTCTTCCAGTCTGAGGAGCTGCAGCCTCCACACCAAACAGTGAGACAGCTGGTCAGAACACTCTCTATGGTGCTTCTGTAGAAGGTGGTGAGGATGGGTGGGGGCAGGTGGGCTCTCTTCATCCTCCGCAGGAAGTACAAGCGCTTCTGTCCCTCTATATCCACAGCAGTCTAATTCTATACATGTATTCTAAAAAGGGAGATTAGTAAAGCAGAAAATGTGTTTTGTCTCTGCTGGATGGTCTGATTACTCTTTGTAGCTTTCCCTGCGTAAAGTGCTTTTTGACCATTTGAACAACTGTGGATCTAATTTTCCTTTATTGATCACATTCTAATTTTAGTCGTCTCTGCAAGATACTTCAATTTAACCTTATTTATATTTGCAATAAAACACCAAGTTCTGATTAAAAGAATAGAAATGGAATGCGTACAATGTTTCCTGTACATCAATTAATCATAGGAAAATGTCAAAAGCCCTCTGACTGGAATCACCAATAAACAAGCCTGGTTCATTATTCTCCTCGAAAAAACTTTGGCGCTTTGTATAAAGTTGTCGTGAAGGAAGTGACTCAACAACAATAATGACATTGGTAATGAACAGTACTCCCTTGGGGGACATTTTGTCACCAAACAGAGCTCAGTGACCCCAGATAAAATGATCCTCTCCTGCCTCTTGACTCCTGGGAGCCCTGCTAATGAGTCCTATTTGTGAAGTCATTACCCAAGGATGCTGGTTAATGACCTCCCTTACAACAAACAAAGCCTTTACTGCTCCAGCTTAAGCCTTATTAATCTCCTCTGCACACATTAGAAGGTTATGAACTTTTGCAATTAAAACAGGAAAAATCATAGGAAGGAACGTAGACAATGTTTTTAAAAAAAGTCACTGGAGTTGTTTCCAAATGGCCCACTTGTGTATTCCTGCCTATAGCAGATATACCTGCAATCTCAACTTGTATTGTTGATCTTCTATGAGTATTCCCCAAAAAGTATAGATTATAAGAACATTTTAAAAAAGAACAAATTATTTGCTGAAAAAGCAAATAGTAAACAGTTGAATCTAATGTTAAAAACTAAGCAAATAAGGAATTTTATTTGTGTTCTAAATGTCCTTTGGATAATGGAAGAAAAATGTAGTCAAAAAAGGCAGAAAACTACTATGGACCAGTTGTGCACCTTTTCAGAATAAGCCAACCTTCCACATTCAAAGACCACATTCAACATATCTGAGAGGTCACAAAAGAATCCAGAACGAAATTTTCACTTGTTTCAATTAAAGCAGATGTTAAAAATTTATACATAAGAGAGACACTTAGCCAATTTCCACGGCAAAATCACAGCTGAACAAATTTAACTCAATGCTCCATGAGTATACTCATTATGGGGTTTTGTACGTATCTAATAATAAATTTATTAAACTAGAAATAAAAAAAAAAATAAGATGTGGTAAATTAATGTACTGATGTTGTTAGTAAGACAGGAAGAATTTAGCTAAAGCAGTGTTAAAAAAAGATTAGTAACAGATTAAAGTAAATGCTAAGACCTCCATCTAAAACCACAACTCTCTTTTGTGAACCAATAGTAAAAAAATCTAACTAAAGATGATTAGTATTTGCTAAAATATCTCTGAAGAAAAACATGCTTTTGAAAGTGTTCTGCTTGTTTTTTTTTAATAATAAATATTTATTCATAAAAAGGGTTTAATCGGGAGAAATTGCATTACTATAAAATGTGATACTTTTTAAGTATGTTAAACGTAAAACAAAATAAATGCAGATACCAAACGTGTTTAATCAAGAAACCACAGGAAGGCAGCAATGAGCAGTTCTAATCACCGGTAAATCTGTAGATATGAATAGAAGAGGTAGCATAATAATGAAAAGGTGTTTTTTTAAAAGCTATTAATAATTATTCAGAAGCATATTTCCTTCAGTGTCAATATTTAAAGCCTGATGCCAATTAATAATGAACATCAAAAGGAAAACTTTGCCTGAATGTATTAAAAGTTTCCCTGTAATTGTTAGGATGAAGTTCTGCTTTAAAATAAAAGGCTTTTAAAAGTT